CGGCCACTGCATTCCAGTCTGGGCGACAGAGTGAGACTCCTACTCAAAAAAAAAAAAAAAGAGTAAAAGTAGCCCAGGCTCAGTGTCTCAACCTGTAATCCCAGCACTTTGGGAGGCCGTGGTGAGTGGATTGCCTGAGTCCGCGGGTTCAAGACCCGCCTGGGCAACTTGGCAAGACCCCATCTCTACAATAAATCAAAAAATCAGCCGGGCATGGTAGCGCGCGCCTGTAGTTCCAGCTACTTGGAAGCCTGAGGCAGAAGGATCGCCAGAGCCCAGCAGGTCGAGGCTGCGGTGGCTGGGAGTGGCCACTGCACTCCAGTCTGGGCGACAGAGTGAGACTCCAACTAAAAAAAAAAAAAAAAAGAGTAAAAGTACATTAAAGGATCATATGTAAAATATCCCAATTTAAAAAAATCTAAGTGCATAGAAAGACAACTTCAAGCATATAAAACAGTTGATGGAATAATAACGGATGGGTTTAATTTTCTTCCAGTGCTTTCTAAAATTTCCAAATTTTCGCCCAGGTGTGGTGGCTCATGACTATAATCCCAGCACTTTGGGAGGCTGAAATGAGAGGATTGCCTGAGCCCACTGGTTCGAGACCAGGCTGGGCAACTTGGTGAGACCTCATCTCCACAATAAATTTAAAAAATTAGCTGGGCATGGTGGTTTGTGCCTGTAGTTCCAGTTACTTGGAAGGCTGAGGTGGAAGGATCACGGAAGCCCAGCAGGTCAAGGCTGCGATGACCGTGAGTGTGCTACTGCACTCCAGCCTGGGCAACAGAGTGGGACTCCAACTCAGAAAAAAAAAATTTTCAAATTTTCTACAACATAAGTATCTTTGTGAAAAGAATAAAACAAAAAAATAGAAGCTGATACCTCATGAACCTCCAAGCCCAAGAGAATGAAATCAAAGCAATTTAATTTGGTGTTCCAGTCAGAAGCTAAGGGCCACTGTGTAGCTTTGCAGGAGACAAAAAAGGAGTTGGTTTGGTTTGGTTTGGTTTGTTATAAAAAGCAACATGGAGAAAGAAGTAAACAAAAGGTCAGGTTAGAAAGCAACATAACAAAATATTAATTTTTTGGGGGGGGAGGTAGGAGTCTCACTCTGTTGCCCAGGCTGGAGTGCAGTGACACACTCATGACCACCACAGCCTCCACCTGCTGTGCTCAGGTAATTCTTCTGCCTCAGCCTTCCAGGTAGCTAAAACTACAGGCGTGGTACTACCACACCAGGTTAATTTTTGGATTTATTGTAGAGATGAGGTCTCACCGAGTTGCCTAGGCTTGTCTCGAATCCCTGGGTTCAGACAATCCTCTCGCCTCTGCCTCCCAAAGTGCTGGGATTACAGGCATGACCCACCATACCTGGCTATAATTTTTTTTTTTAATCAAAGTCTCATCTGTCACCCAGGCTGAAGTGTAGTGACACAATCATGGCTCACTGCAGCCTCCTCCAATCCTGGGTTCAGGTGATCCTTCCTCTTCAGCCTACTGAGTAGCTGAGACTACAGACACATGCCAACATGTCCAGCAAAATTTTTTTTTTTGAGTTGGAGTCTCACTCCGTCGCCCAGGCTGGAGTGTAGTGGCATGCTCGTGGCCACCCTAGCATTGACCTGCTAGGCTCCAGCGAGCCTTCCGCCCCTGCCTGCCAAATAGCTGGAACTACAGGTGTGCACTACCATGCCCGGCTAATTTTGTATTTTTAATGTAGAGATGAGGTCTCACCAAGTTGCCTGGGCTGGTCTCAAACCCGCGGGTTCAGGCAATCCACTCGCTTCAGCCTCCCAAAGTGCTGGAATTACAGGCTGAGTCATCGACACCGGCCTCCAACAAATTTTAAAAATTTTTGTGTAGACACAAGGTCTCACTGCGTTGCCCAGACTGGTCTCTAATTACTGGGCTCAAGCAATCCTCTAACCTTAGCCTCCCAAAGTGTTGGGATTACAGGTGTGAGTCACCACACTCAGCCTTAATATTAATGTATTAGTAAACTGGCAAAAAAAAGTTTTAAAATTTAAGAGCCAATACGCAAAAGAATGTGGCAAAAGAGTATACATATTCTTATATACTATACATATTCTTGTTCTTATATATACTATTCTTAGTGGTGATGCATCTTAGCACAACCTTTTTAAAAAGCAGTTTAGCAATATGAATAAAGATCCATAAAATGTGCATATTCAAAATGGCACAGCCAATATGGAAAACAGTTTTGCACTTTTTTATGAAACCAAGATACAATTACCATAAAATGACCCAACAATTGCACTCATGGGCGATTATCCCAGAGAAATAAAAATTTATGTTTACATATGTTTAAACATGGGTACTCAACAACAAAAAAGAATGAATTATGATTACAGACAATTTGGATAATCTCCAGGGATCCATGCCGAGAGAAAAAAGCAATCCCATGAAGTTGAATACTCTATGATTCCATTTATATAACACTTTTGGAATAAAAAAATTATAGAAATGAAGAACAGATTAATGGTGGGAGGAGGTGGGTGGAGGAAGGTGTCGCTAAAAAGGGCAGAGGGATCCTTGTGGTGATAGAAATGTCTTGTATCTTGACTGTACCAATGTCAATATTCTGGTTTGTGATCAAACTGATACCTTTCCAGTCTCCTGCAGAGATACACACAGTGGTCCTTAGCTTCTGACTGGGGCACTGAATTTAATTGCTTTGATTTCACTCTCTTGGGCTTGGAGGTTCAGGAGGCATGAGTTTTGCAAAATGTTACTATTGGGGAGAAATCAAGTAAACAGTACTTGGGCTCTCTCTGTCTTATTTCTTACAACAGCATGTTACCTACAATTATCTCAAAACAAAAAGTTTATTTTTTTAGAGACAGGGTCTTACTCGGTCACCCAGACTGGAATGTGATGGTGTGATCACAGCTCGCTGTAACCTGGAACTCCTGGGCTGAAGTGATTCCCCTTCCCCAGCCTCTCCTGTAGCTGGGACTACAGGTGCATACCATTACACTTGACTATTTTACTTTTATTTTTTGTATTTTTGTAGAGAAGATGTTTTGTTATGTTGCCTACGCTTGTCTAACTCCTGGGCTCAAGTGATCCTGTGGAAAGAGCCAGGATAACAGGAGTGAGCCATCACACCCAGCCAAAAGTTTACTTAAGAAAAAAAACAAAACAAAACATCTTTTGGTCCATTATCTCAAGACTGGAAACCTGTCCCAAAGATATAACCCAAAAGAAAAAAAAAAAAATCAGTTGCACCAGATGCTCATTATAGCCTTATTTACAATACAGAAAAGAAACAATCTGTTTTAAAACAAGAAAATACGTAAATCATCAAATAGCCACCAGAGAATGATGCAGTCTTCCATGAAGTAACAAAAAACTATTATTTGAAAAAGGAGGATACAGGGTTGGTGCAGTGGTATCCCAACACTTTGGGAGGCCATGCTTGAGGATCGCTTGAGCCCAGGAACCCTGTCTCTACAAAAATCAAAATATCAAAAAATTTGTCGAGCGTGGTAGTGCACCTGTAGTCCTAGCTACTTGGGAGCGCAGGAGGTGGAAGCAGCGGTGAGTAGTAATTGTGTCACCGCCCTACGGCCTGGGTGACAAAGTGAGACCCCAACTCAAATAAAAGAAAAAGGTACTAACTGTGGTACAATATGACAACACTATGAAGGTGATGGGATGTATTACACAAACTTTAATACTAGTACTCTAATGTGGCATTCTAGCAAAAATAGTTTGGTTGCATATGGGTGGGAGGATAGCATTAAAGGACACTGTTCATGTTAAATTTGCTAACGTCGGAATCAAAAGACGTTCTTAAAATGTGTCCCTCCAGCAAGTGCTCCTTTCAGGCTTTTACCAAGAGTGCACGAGGGCCCCCGCACCGTCGTGAGCACAGGGTGGGAGCGTTGGGGCACCGTTTGGTCCACTGCCGCTGTCCCCAAAGCCAACCCAGGACCCCACCAGGAGTCCCGGAAAGGGGACCCCCGAGCATGATGGGCGAGGCCGCTGCCAGGAGGTACAGTGACCACTCCAAGGTCACCATGAAGAGCCCGAAGCCAGATATCGGCCGGGCCCAGGACTCCTTGAACCTGAGCCCGGGTCTCGCTCTCCACCCCCACGACCCTCGACTCATCCCGCGCCGAGACCCCACTGCTCCCAGGGGCTCCGCCGTGGCGAATTCCCACGTTGCGGCGTAGTGGCCGCGGAGAAACCCCGAACCTGAGCTCGGCGCCTCCACCCTTCCGCCCAGGACCGAGACCCCCCCGAGGTCCGCACCGCGACGTAGCCCACACCGACCCCCTCTTCCTTTTTCGCCCTCTCAACCCAGCTTTTCCCGACTCCGGGAAGAACCGGGAAGAGAAGGCGGAGGGGAGCGAGGAGCCGCCTAATAAATACTGTGGCCCAGTCCCGCCCCCCTAACGTCACTTCCGCCTCGCGGCAAGATGGCGGCGCCCGGGCCCTGCCACGCAGACTTCCGCCCAGCACGGAGGCCAGGGGCTGGTGTTGGGGGTGAAGTCGTGACCTGCGGCGTGGAGCCGCGTCCCAGGTGCTTCTCTGTTTGGTGCCTGGCGCGGGTGCTGGGGCAGAGGGGGGGTCGCGAGCCAGAGGATCTAGCCCACGTGGTCCGGGGAGTCTCGCCACGTGGGAGGGGGAGGAGCCGAGACGCCGCCGGAGGGACGCCCTGACGAGGGGGCGGGAGGCCGAGTGGGTGGGGTTCCGCCTGGGGTCCGCGTGTCGGTCTCCTCGAGTGATTTCGTTGCCCCTTCTCTCTCAGGCAGCATGTCGGAAGGAAACGCCGCGGGCGAACCCAGCGCTCCGGGAGGGCCCCGGCCCCTCCTGTCTGGAGCCCGGGGTCTTATCGGGCGGCGGCCGGCGCCCCCCCCCACCCCCGGCCGCCTTCCCTCCATCCGCTCCAGGGACCTCACCCTCGGGGGAGTCAAGAAGGTACCCACCTACCTTGAATTCCAGGCCCCTGGGATTCAGCTAATGTTCGTGTAGGGCCTGCTGTGTGCCAGGCGTGTTGTTGGGCCTCGTGAATCTTGTCCCCAAACTTCCGCCCACCCCTCTTTCAATGTTAGGGAGTCTAGCCTACCTTCAATTCTAGGTACTTGGTACAAAATACTGAGATATTTCTCAGAGGTGGTTGAAAGAGGATTAAGACGTGCAAAAGCAACTTGAGCATTGTTTATTTTGTGTGTTTTGGACACCTTTTAAAAACCCACGAAAGCCAGGCAGACATATAAACATTGCTTGCGGTGTTAGAGAGTTCAGAATTCTCCATCATCCCAATGTGCAAACTTCTTATCTAGAGTGTGATGAACTCTAATCATGGCATTAGAGGCTCTGTGGCCTCTTCCATATGTATATGACTGTAGATGTGAAGAGTAGCCCTGCAAGAGGTCAGGGCGGGATGGCAAGTGTAAAGCAGCCAGCTTTTAAAGATAACTTTGCCTTGGGAAATTCTGGTGTTGGTAACTGTTATCGAATTGAGAGAACTGGCAGATCTCCGATCATCCCTCCTTAAACCTTGCTTTTAGAACTGTTTTCCCATGATACTGACTGGTTTCTATAGCAGTTTGAAGACAAGAGAGGAGACTAAATAAATTTCTTTGCTTTTAGAAATCCCAGAGGCTCTCCTTTCAGAGGGCCGCTAGTTAAAATGATTTTTAGTGCCACTGTGGCATGAAGTTCCTTCTTTTCGGGCACATGTCTATCTATAAAACTCTGACAGCACTGTGGAATGTGCAGAGGAGAGCCGTGGTGGTCTTGGTCCATAGACAGTACCCTTTGGGAGTTTTGATTTTCCTCTGTACTTTGGGGTCAGAACTTAACAAATCAGTGACTCCTGTATTTTACTTTCAGAAAACCTTCACCCCAAATATCATCAGTCGGAAGATCAAGGAAGAGTAAGTAGCTAGGCCTTCTGAATACTTGCCCCTTATTTACTTGCTCTGAATTTGGGGCTTTTGGGAAGTAACCAGGTGTGTAGCTCAGAAATCTAAATTTGTGTCTTTAGCTTTTTTCACTAAGGATTGTCAGTCTTGACTCCCAGGTGATTTTGATGTGTAAGCTGCAAAAAAAAAAAAAAAAAAAAAAAAAGACATTTAGGGCTCCATTTCTAGAAATTGTAATTTAACTTGTTTGCAGTAGCATGGGGTGATTCTCTTTTACAGCCAGAGTTGAGAACCACTAGTTTATTTATTTTTTATTTTTTGAGTTGGAGTCTCACTGTGTCGCCCAGACTGGAGTGCAGTGGCCACTCCTGGCTACCGCAGCCTCGACCCGCTGGGCTCCGGCGATCCTTCTGCCTCAGCCTTCCGAGTAGCTGGAACTACAGGCGCGCACTACCACGCTTGGGTGATTTTTGATTGATTGTAGAGATGAGGGCTCGCCAAGTTGCCCAGGCGGGTCTCGAACCCGCGGACTCAGGCAGTCCACTCACCTCAGCCTCCCAAAGGCGTGGGATTACAGGCTGAGCCACCGAGCCCGGCTGAGAACCACTAGTTTAAACAAATATATTATCACTTTTTCTTAAGTTCCCTTCCGTTTCAGCCTTCCTGCTTTCAGTCAATGCAAAAAAAAAAAAACCAAAAAACCCTACATTTTGGACAAAAAGGTAAAGTAAAGCAAAGTCAAAGGACCCTGCCTTATCAAGGAAGTGAAAAAAGTTCTAGACTTAGGATTGAGTTCTGCTTCTCATGGTGTCAGTCATTATTGACACATAAGCTCTCCACTTACTTGGAGAGAGATGGTAGAGGAGAGAATAAGGCCAGTTTTCTGAGGCACAGTAAATGAGTGGTTTCACTTAATGAATTCTTTTTTCCAGGCCTAAGGAAGAAGTAACCATCAAGAAGGAAAAACGTGAGAGGGACAGAGACCGACAGCGAGAGGGGCATGGACGGGGCCGGGGCCGCCCAGAAGTGATCCAGTCCCACTCAATCTTTGAGCAGGGCCCAGCTGAAATGATGAAGAAAAAAGGTACAGAGAAGGAATCAGTAGTGAATTTCAGCTCAGACTGCTCAAGAGAAGGGCAAGAGTAGTGGAGTTCCCCTGCTCCCAGTTTAGTTTTCCTTGCTGTTGGCCTCTTCCTCGTTTATCCCTAGTGACCTGGATGATTTCCCACAGGCAACTGGGATAAGACAGTGGATGTGTCAGACATGGGACCCTCTCACATCATCAACATCAAAAAAGAGAAGAGGGAAACGGATGAAGAAACCAAACAGATTCTGCGCATGTTGGAAAAGGATGATGTGGGTACCAGGAGGCTGGGGGGAGGGGATTTTTTGGTGACTGTGGAAAAGGGCCTTCGGGGAGCTAGGTCAGGGTCAGAAGAGCTCACTGATGCCCTGGAATCCTGCTGAGCATCGGGAATGTATGGTTGGAAACAGACTAAAGTAAGCTGGGCTCGGTGGCTCAGCCTGTAATCCTGCTCTTTGGGAGGCTGAGGTGAGTGGATTGCCTAAGCCCGCAGGTTCAAGACCCACCTGGGCAACTTGGCGAGACCTCATCTCCACAATAAATTAAAAAATCAGCCGGGCATGGTAGCGCATGCCTGTAATTCCATCTATTCGGAAGGCTGAGGCGGAAGGATCGCCGGAGCCCAGTAGGTCGAGGCTGCAGTGGCTGGGAGCGGCCACTGCACTCCAGTCTGGGCGACAGAGTGAGACTCCAACTCAAAAAAAAAACAAAACCAGAAACAGACTAAATATACTGTGATCCAGGTATGTGTGCTGGCAGACCATGTGACTCCCCAGCTCTTCCTTGGCAGTTCATCGATGACCCTGGGCTGAGGAATGACACTCGAAACATGCCTGTGCAGCTACCGCTGGCTCACTCGGGATGGCTTTTTAAGGAAGAGAGTGAAGAACCAGATGTTAAACCTTGCCTGGCTGGCCCCAAGGAAGAAGACATGGAGATAGATGTACCTGGTGTGAAAGGTATGGTGTGTCAGTTAACTTCTCATCTCCTTTTCCATGTCTGCCCCTCAGGAATCCCTCACATGAGCCTCCGAGATTACTACTCGTGGGCAGATCCCGTCCCATTCTAACTGTAAAATACATGAGCTGAACAAAGAAGCCAAATTCTCCCTCCCAGAGGGTTCGCGTCTGACAACGGCCAGTGGGCCCAGTCTCAGATGTTTCTTTTTAGGTCAGTCACACAGCCTTTGAATGTGCCAGCTCTTGCTCCTCTCCATAATCAGTGTCTCTTTCCAGCTCCCTGGCTCAGTGACAGGGGAGTAGATGGGGGCACAGAGCTGGAAACAGTAGGATGGTACGGAGGTTGATCACGTGATGAGTCTCCATTATAACACCCGGGCAGTGAAAGAGGAGCCACGAGATGAGGAGGAGGAGGCCAAGATGAAGGCTCCACCCAGAGCAGCCAGGAAGACCCCAGGCCTCCCTAAGGATGTATCTGTAGCAGAACTGCTGAGGGAGCTGAGCCTCACCAAGGAGGAAGAACTGCTGTTCCTACAGCTGCCAGACACCCTTCCTGGCCAGCCACCTACTCAGGACATCAAGCCTGTCAAGACAGAGGTGCAGAGCGAGGATGGACAAATGATGGTTGTCAAGCAGGAGAAAGACCGGGTATGCTTAGGAGCCAGTCCTTTGAGAATTCAGGGTGGGGGGACTAGCGGAGAAACGACCTGTCAGGGGAAGCAAAAGTATGCCACCCCAGCATGACTATAATGACCGTTTGCCCTTGGTACCTGCGAGGGCCATGGGGCTTTCTGATCCCAATTGTGTATGTGTGTATATGTATGTTTACTTTTTTTTGTTGTTGTTGAGTTGGAGTCTCACTCTGTCTCTCAGACCGGAGTGCAGTACCACACTCCCAGCCACCGCAGCCTCGAACTGCTGGGCTCAGGTGATCCTTCCGCCTCAGCCTTCCAAGTAGCTGGAACTACAGGCATATACCACCACGCCTGGCTGATTTTTGATTTATTGTAGAGATGAGGTCTCACCAAGTTGTCCAGGCTGGTCTCGAACCCGTGGGCTCAGGCAGTCCTCTCACTTCAGCCTCCCAAAGTGCTGAGATTATAGGCGTGAGCCACCATACCCAGCCTACTTTTTAATCATGAAAATTTTCAGATGAAAATTAACAGATGAGAGAACATTAAGTCCCATGTACCATCACTCAGTTTCAGCAGTTACTGATATTTTGTCCATTTGTGTATTTGTTTACTGTTGGTTTTGTTTTGTTAACCAGTTGCAGACAGGAGTTCATTCTGTCCTTTGGGGGGTTCATTCTGACCTTTACTGCCAACGCCTTTCTCTGGAAGGCAGCATGCGTTTCCTTCATGAAAGAGAGAGAAAAATGCTCCTTGCCTAGTTTCCATCCTCTGGTTCTGTCTGCAGGAAGCGAGGCTGGCAGAGAATTCTTGTACCCTGGCTGACCTGACAGAAGGTCAGGTTGGCAAGCTGCTGATCCGTAAGTCAGGAAAGGTGCAGCTCCTTCTGGGCAAGGTGACTCTGGATGTGACCATGGGAACTGCCTGCTCTTTCCTGCAGGTGAGAGCCCCTATGGGGCAGGGAGTGGCCTTTGAAGGGCTTAAGGAGAGTTGGGGATCCATTGCTAAATAAGGAAGAGGGAATCTTGGAAGTATCCTATTCAGATTCACAGGACTGTGCTCTGGGACGTGTGGTCGTGGCTCTTATTGCTGTCTCTACTGATTGGCAGGAGCTGGTGTCCGTGGGCCTTGGAGACAGTAGGACGGGGGAGATGACAGTCCTGGGACACGTGAAGCACAAACTTGTATGTTCCCCTGATTTTGAATCCCTCTTGGATCACAAACACCGGTAAAATGAGCAGATGGAGGAGGATGGTGCCCGTGCCCATGGCTGCTGCCTGCTCCAGATGTTTTGTTCTCTAATCTGTGTGACCCAGAAGGGCCCTGTTGAGCCCACCCACTCCAGCCTTTGACAGTCATTGTCCAAGCTTTCCCCAGGGTTCACAAGGCTCCCTCCCACAGCAGTTGTGAACGGCACAATGACCTTCCCACCGCATGGAGTCTGCATATCCTTGTTGCAGGGGACTTGTCCTTGCTATTTATTTTTATATTTATGTCTTAATCTCTTCAAATGACTGCATCCTTCCAAGGTAGAGGAGGAGGGTCTGGGAAGGTGCGGGCTTCTTTCGGTGGCCACTGGGCTGTAGGGGCAGGAAGTGAGAATTGCATCTTTTGCTGGTGGCCTCTCATTCCTCCCAGGAGGCAGCGCAGGAGAGAGACCAGGTAATAAGTCTGAGATTTAAGTGCTCGGTTCCAGCTTGTGAGTTCCTAGTTATGTGTCCTTGGACAAACTACCTAACCTTTCTGAGCCTCATATTCCTCGTCTGACACAACTGGGGATAATACCTACCTCACAGGGTTGGTGTGAGGATTACATGGGATATAATAGATGAAAGCTCCTTGCACAAGGCCATACCCATTGGCACTCAATAAATGTTAGTTTCCCTATCCTATGCCTAAGTATGTTTTCAAAAATAGAGATTCTTATAGTCTCTCAGAAGAACTGACTAGTGCTACTCACTTTCCCATTCTTGCCCCTTCAAGTTCACTCTGCATCCCATCCCTACTCTAAGCCAGATGCTGCCGGTATCCAGGTCAGGCTGTCCTATGCCTTTTCTTCCTGGTTAGGCAAGCGCTTCCTGTGTGAGTTGCTAGCTGTAGATTCTATTAGAAAGGAAGAAGTCAGAGATGCCGCCAGCAGCCTACAAATGCCTTTGGATGCCATGGTGGGCGCAAGACTTGTTCCCTGCATTTTCACTTCTGTAATGACTAGTCAGGACTCTTGCAGCTTCCATTTTAATACTCCTCAAATGAAGCTTATGACCATTTATGGCGAATTATTACCACATTAAGTCAAATATTGCCAACAACAAAAAAACCCTTGGTAAGATAGAAGATAGGGATTTGTTGACAAATGGCCTCTTTAACACTTGGCAAATGACCTGCACCTCAAAAGCTTTGAGTTTGAGAGGCTTGCATATATCTCCTTCCATCCTAGCACTGCCAGGGCCACCTGCTCAGCATGGATCCCAGTCCCTGCTGACTGCACTTGCCATTGAGCTTAGGTATCTGTGATCTTGTTCCCATCACCAGGTCATCCGTCACACACTGTTGTTCCTGAGGGAACAGGTTTTTCTCTTGCCTTGACAATAAGACTGGGGTTTTCCCTGGTTCTACTGGAGCAGTGTTTACAGGTAGAGAAAGGCCTCATGTGGCAGTGTTCTGTGGCACACACTGGTGGCACAGCTGCCCTTTGCTGGCATCATAGCACATTGCCTCTAGGACAAGATGAATCATGGGGTCTCAATAAAAGTTGCCCTTGGCCAGGCTTGGTGTCTCAGCCTGTAATCCCAGCACTTTGTGAGGCTGAAACGAGTGAATTGCCTACACCCTCGGGTTCAAGACCAGCCTGGGCAACTTGGTGAGACCTCATCTCTATAATAAATCAAGAATTAGCCGGGTGTGGT